ATAAATCTGCTGAAGAAGCTGTGCCTTACACAGCGAAACGTTCAGAAAAATCTTGTTTTGATTTTCTTAACACTCTGGGATTAATTTAAATAATTTATAATATTAAATGACAATCATTGGTTGTGAACGCCATTACCATAATCGCAAAATTTTGTATTATGCAGGATTACTCACACTACCACTACAAACACTGCATTAGACCTGACAATAAAAAACAAAACAACAACCCTGAAATGTTATTTTATGATTGTTTAGTGTTGTTTCAACCAAATTAACTGATCATCTTGGTGATAAACTTTCTTAAATATCATTTCATAACTTCTTGTATGACTATAGCTTTACTGTCACCATGCGTAATCATATCATAGCTTCCACTACCCAATACTGAGATATTATTATATGCTGTTTATTTTCCTTTCTACATCTTAGTATTTTTTTCGCATTTCTTTTTTATCATTTTTGTGTTTATCATGTTTTTTTGCTGTTGGTGTCTTTATATTTATTTTTTTTGAAATACTCCTTTTAAACGCTGGATAAAAATTAGATGTAAATATTGTAGATGCGTGCTGAAACTTCCACACTGTACCACTAGTACTGTTTCTGGAATAAAGCAAATTATTATCATTATTATTATTATTAAATAGTAATGATTTGTTACTTGATGCTAAAACCTCGATCATGAAAATAACTGAGAATGATGTTGGGAATTATTATTATTTATTCAAGTTGGAGAACTTAGCAGAATGATACAAACAGAAGTATTTTTCAATTAATTAAGTTTTATAACTGCGTGTTTTTTACTCCCAAGAAGATTATTTTGTATGTATAAATCGATGGATATTATTGTATATGTCCTTGATGTTTAATGAGCTCTTAATTAAAATCATTCCGGTCTTATTTTTAACAAATAGTACTGTAATGAATTGGAGCACGAAAAACCTAAATCATCTGGATCAAGAGGAAATGGAATCGCTTATAATGAATTCTTGTTCGTAATTGATTCACAAAATGCTAGCGGCTGTCATTCTGGGACCACACTGGGTTACGCAACATTCTGTCGGATGGATGCGCACACGGATAGGTTAGTCTGTCTGAAATTCTTATAAATATAAGAACTTAAGAAGTACAACATAAACTCAGAACGATAACATTTGTTTGTCTATATATATAGTCATCTTAAGTGTTTTCGGACCAATTGTGAAAGTTATCTCCATTCTGTTGCTCACATATAGTTCGACACTTTTCTGTCTACTGATTGGCTGCAGAAAATTTCAGTTACCACAGATCCCTTTGCACGATTAAAACAGCATCACTGTACAGGCAATACACACATATGTGTTGGTTTGTAGGTATTTGATCGGTTACAGGATTTTCATCATGAGCTGACATTAGTTAGAGAACCATTGGAAAACCTGGGAGTACACATACACACACAAAAATACACACATAATTCGGTAATTTCATGGACTCAGAAAGGTGTTTCTATGAAGTAACATTTTGACATAATTTTCTGCCCCTTGAAAAATACAGTTCAAGTAAATACAGAAAAATCATAAATAAAGACGTTAATATTTTTAGGCATTGCATAGAAACTTTGAATCTCTTCATACCTTTTGAAGGTAGAAAGTACTTACTCAATATATTATTTATTTCCGATTGTGTTATACATGAGTCAGTAATCTAGAACATAGACATTCTTACCGGCGTCCAACAATCGTTATATTTCTTGACCTAAAGGCAGCATTTGATTCTGTCGACTGAGAGCTACTCTGGCGATGCTTGACTGTAAAGGGAATGCCGAGAAAATACATAGCACTGATTAAGGCACTCTACTCGAAATCATGCAGCCAGGTGATATTTATATATTTTTATATTTTTTTTATATTTTTGGTTACAGCTTGATGCCACACCGTATTTTTAGTACAAGTATGGAATTTTCAGCTTGGATATCGGTAGCCCAAATTTTGCAGGCCGACCATAGATATCAGTTGTGCGTCGGCAGGGGATCGCTTACGGCGAGTTGTCATCTGAATTGGTGACGACTAGTGGTGTCCGTCAAGGATGCCCATTATCCCCATTTCTATTCAAATTCATCATCGATGTACTAATGGATTTAATCCTAACTCACTTCAGAGACTCACTATCACCAAAGAATAATCTCGTTGACTTAGAATATGCAGATGATATAGTCCTTCTAGGTGATGACAGTGACAAAATGCAAAGTCTTCAGAACACCTTGAGCTGCAATCTACGAATGTTTGGCATGCGATTCGCCCCTGTAAAATGTAAGATGATGCTGCAGGATTGAACTGGACTACATTGACTCCTAGATTAGAAATAGGGAGTTCAGTGGTAGAGTGTGCTGACCACATCACTTATTTGAAAGTTGCAACAGCCTCAGCGGGTTGACCTCTGAAGAAATCTCATTACGGATAGAGTGGGCTAGTCTCGCATATGCCAGTTTACGCCGTCTTTGGCGTAGGCGTGATTTCCGGCTATCGACGAAAGGTCGGTTATACTAATCATCAGTCCGCTCCGTCCTCCTTTATGGCTGTGAGACCTGGCCACTGAGAGTGGAAGACGTGAAAAAATTAGCTGTCCTTGATCACAGGTGTCTGCATTCTATCTCCCGTGTGAAGTGGTATAATAAGATGAGCAATATTCAGATTAGGCGTCGAGTGCTAGGTAAGGAGGAGAAATCAATCGACGAGGCTGTGAAATTACATCGACTGAGATGGTTAGGACATGTGTTACGTATGTCTAGTCATCGTCTTCCTCGACGGGCAATGTTAGCTGACACATGAGGTCAGGCTGGAAAAGAGCTAGTGGCGGTCAAACCAAATTATGGCACCAGTCAATGAAATCTAAAACAGTTAGTCTAAGCCACGTAGGAAAGTGTAGACTTCCTGGTTGGGATCCTCGGGACGGTAAAAACCAATGGTTGGAAACAATTGGTGACATGGCTCAAAATCGTTCTCAATGGCTAGCGCAAATGCATCCACTCCTTGTGACTTATGATTTCAAATGAAACTATATCGTTCTTCGTTATCACTATTCCTTTGTCTCACACCTCTGTTTAATGTCTCTACTATGCATTCCTTCTACTTTCTTCTCTTGCTTTGTGTGCTACATGGAGTGTGGTGACTTGAACTGCTGCACACCGGTGCAAAGTTCTATGTCTAGAACAGACAGATAGACAGTAATCTGTAGATTGTATAAATAATCAGCAAACTATCCAAATTTGATTGTATATGCAACCTGGAATAGCATCACTAAACTAAAAATATAATTTTAGGAACAAAATTTAAGCTTAAAGACAATTAGACTTCATTCTCACTTTGAATTATCCAATTATTCTTTCTACAGAACATTAAACGACCACCTCCCTTTTTTACTAGTTCACTAGTTTACTAGGATGTCCTAAGCCCGGAAAACGAGGAAAGGTTGGACATGGTAAAGGTACCTACCGATTGAAAGAACGGTGACTTACAGCCTCACTCTGCAAGAACTGGTAAGGAATAATGCTATTGTCCACCCCAAGTAAAATACTAAGCCCCATCATCCTGGAGAGAGTAAGAGATGCACTGGATACAGAACTTCGCCCCACGGAACAAGCTGGATTCAGGAAAGCAAATCATGTAAGGAACAAATTGCAAGTCTACACATCATCATCGAATAAAGCATAGAATGGAAGTTAAATCTTCGGCTCAACTTCATCGACTTTGAAAAGGCCTTCGACAGACAGCGTTGGCCGAGAAGTAATTTGAAAAACAACCTCTAAAATATGGTGTGTTCCAAATCTGTTTCCACTTCCTGCAACAGTTTTCTGACAGTGCCATATGTCAAGTGAATCCCAACGGAAAACACAGCGAAGCCTGTGAAACGAATAAGGGAATAAAACAAGCCTGTCTAGTGTCACCAATGATATTCTTGACTGTGATTACCTGGAATATGCGGAAAAACATGAGAAGTAAGAAGACAGGAATACACTGGACCGATAAGGTTCTAGAAGACATGAACTTCTCAGAGCATTTATGTCACATAAATTTGATGACTTACAGACGAAAACCGACAAGTTGGTAGAGGAGGCATATAGCAAAGACAAGACCTCAAGTGAACACCGAGAAGACAGAGGTGATGAAGATTACGAACCAACAAAAACGACTAGCACTAATCACTATCAACGGTAGAAATTTGAGTGAGGTAGCATCATGTCAACTTCAGAGGACAGCACAGATGAGGATGTCAAAGCCAGGTAGGATAGAAAATACAAGACTAACATTCATCATTCTGAAACCAGTTTACAAAATCTCCTGAACTCAGCACAATATAACAAAATTCGGATATTCAACACCAATGTTAAGTCAATCAGTCCTTCTCCACGGCTCAGAAACTCGGCATATGCCTCACGAATAACATTTCCAACAGGCCACTATTGACTTCCATCAGCAGCTGTCCTCAATGGCTCCACGCTGGAGATCAAATGGCTAGCCACGAAGAATTATCAACAAGAAACTCTACCAACAAAACAAACAAGAACCTGTTGTTCAACAAATATCCCGAACAAAATGAAGATGGATTGACCAGATGGGTGACACCATGTGCTTAACACTACCTAGACTAGAACTCGACTTTGAAACGACGAGTTGGGCGTGTGTCCAAGACTGATATGTATAAGATGGAGTGGAGAGGAGATGAGAGACAACGGGCAATCGTGAAATTAGCTGAAAGAACTGTACAAAACATGATTGAATGGTGATCTGCTGTTGACGGCCTCTATTCCACTTAAGACCCAATGGAACAATAATGATAAAACAAGCAAACTATCAATTTTCAGATGAATATATAATTATTTTCAATGTATAACGTTTAATTTCATTTTGAAAATACAATTTTACAGTACAGTTATAGATATAACTTGCAAGTCTAGGCATATTAATCGCAATATGGTTATCTTTCTTTTTCATTTATATTTAAGGCCAGTTGCAGGTTACGCAAATATGTGTCCAGGACACTTAAAGATGGAAGCAGAAAATATTCGTCAATCTACTGTAACGATGGCGCATGAATTGGCTCATGCTTTGGTAAATATAAACCATTCAAATAACAGTTCTCTTGAAATTTGAGTGTTTCAATTTCACCTACTTTTTAAATATGATGTACTTTTAAAAACATTTTTCACACTGGATCTGTCATCAAAAATTCTGAAATCGAATGGGCAATATGTTCAGAAAAACAAAATAGTGTTTTTCAAAGTATTATGAAATAGATATATGCGCTTGCGTTTTATCCGTCTCTTAATAATTTTACTTATCTTTTTTCTTAAGGGCTTCATGCGTGATGCCTTCAGATACACGCGTGACAAAAACAACGAACCAAGAACAAATCGTGATCCTCAAACAGATGAACCAAATGAAATAGATGCAAATCAGTATAGCATTCCAGGGTAAGTGAACACTTTATTATTGATAAGATTTTAGTTTGATAAATCACACAGTGTTGTACAGTAATATTTACTGATGACAACATTTCGAGGACAAATTATTACTGGTCATAATCATGTCAAGTCACTCACACAACTTTTTACTTCATTTATTTACATGAGTAAAATTCATGATTAGACATTTGAATAAAAATAATCTCATCCGTTGTCTGTAAACGCTGGCTTAGTTAAGTGTCTAACAAATCGAGCTATAACACTAAGTAATATAAACAAAAAACTTAAACGATGAAATGAAACAGATAGACGAGGTGTTGGTGTTAAATAACTATCTTATAAAATTCATTAGGAATATCAAAAAAGGTCAGAAGCAAAATAAAAATAATGGGGAAATTAATGATAACATAAATTAGAGAGAATATAAGGCATCTACTGTAATACCATATTAGGATAGGACATCTGAGAGCTTACGTAGGATAATCAATAAAGCAGGAAGTAGGGTGGGATTAGGGTGAACCTACAAACTCACACATCGACAAGCTCTGTAGGCTAAAGGACCCTGTAGGCTTACCCAACTAGACAAAATAATATAATTTACAAAATACCTTACAGTGACTGTGAGTTAAGTCAACTACATAGGTCAGTCGAACTAGTAGATCAGGAGTAGTCAGATTGCCTATCGGGACATAAAAATTTACCTAGGGTTAGAATGATTGATCCCACGAAGATGAGTAATTCAGAAAAAAACTCAGGAATTGCACTGCACACACCACACAATAGGATGGGTGTGACAAAGTCAAAATCCATATATATGATATGAGTAGGTAGGTAGTTGAAGAGCGAGAGAGATTGATTACTGAATCCTGCCTGGTTCACCAAGTGAATCTGCACCCAATACAACACATGCAACAGAAATGACTCAACACAAATATCAGAGATAGGGAAGATATTATTACCACCAGTCAGTCAAATCAGAGGAGGATAATAAATAATCTCAAAATTCAATTCACATACATCATAACATTCTAAAAAGTTACTTATTTTTACTGTAAAAACACTCATCTTATTTCACATCTGATTGTATTTGATTGATAACACTCATATTATTATTTCTGAATGTACATTATCTTATACTGGTTGATTTTTATTCAAATGTCTAATCAGCTCCACTCATGTATACAAATAAAGCAAGAAAGCTATGTGAGTGACTTGATATGATTATGAGTGGCAATAGTTTGTGCTCGAAACGTGGTCATCAGTTAATATTACTGTATTACACTGTGTGATTTATCAAAATAAAATCTTATCTATAATGGAATAGTTATTCTCTAACATTGTGCCAAAGAATTTTTTGGTTATATCAATAAGTTTACACTTTTCAATTAACATAAAAAATCAAGCTGACTAATGTATTCCTTTAAAAAGAAGCCGATATGTAAATGTGAAACATTTGAACTGAAGTGAATTTATAAACCAAAGGAATCCAAAGCAGTGCTCTTATTTCGTGAATTTTTTTCTTTTGCCCGAAACACTTATGCAATTACATTAAAGAAACATTTATGAATAAACGGAGTGTTTTAAAGTTCAGAAATATAGTTAGAAGTCGATCCTTGTTTCTTTTAGTGATCCTATTTATTTTATTAATATAAGTGTAGAACTTGGGCACTGTAGTAGAATGTTATTTCTATATTGGAAAAGTTTATTTTAAATATCATGCAGTGATGCAGCATTAACAATTGGATGACATTATGAGCATAAATTCCTGTTCATAATCATATCAATTTTGGTCACACAGTTTCACAATCTATCTCATATATATATATATATATTCTATCTTTCTGACTATCCGAATTCCCTTTGTGCGTCGGTGGCACAGTGGTTAGGACTCTCGCCGACCATGCACATGGTCCGGGGTTCGATCCCCTGCCGGCGCACACCCGATATCTATGGTCGGCCTGAAATTTGGGCTACCGATATCCATGCTGAAAATTCAATACTTGTACTGAATAATACGGTGTGGAATCAAGCTGTAATCAAAATTAAAAAATTAAATTGTTGTTTGTTACCACTTTCCACATCTCCGGTATCATAGGCGTTGCGTCATTCCGATTGCACGTGTATGGTGTTGAATCAGTAAACTTCTCTCTCCAATTAACTGTGTTACTATTTCATACTCTCCCCTTGCCCCACCCTATTTTGTCATTACATGCAAGTGGCTGGGCTTTTTCTAGGTTATTTAACTTAGCAGAGTCAATTATTCTAGATCTAGCTAAACTGTTATGTTGTAATAATCTAGCTGACGCCGATCTACTAGTTTGTCTATCCTATGCAAGTGACCTCACTCATATTCATTACATAGTATTCGATGAATTATATTATTTTTCTAGATTGGATCTATTGAGTCCTTAAGCCGACAAAGATTGTCTCTGAGACAGTTGGTTGTTTGATTTAAATGACACTTTAATCACAGCCTCATTGAGAATTCTACGTAAGGCCTCTTTCCTTATACGGTGCTACAGACATTTTGAACCTTACCTTATTTTCGTCAATTTTATTGCTAATCTTAGTTCTTTTTTATGGTTCTTCATACTAGGTAGGCTCTTGGCCCGATTATGCAGACATTTAACTAAACATATCTTTACCTCTTCTGGATGGGATGAATTAAAGTCTGAGCATTTATTAGATTGTGTCGGTTTCCCATAAATGCTAGTATCTAGCCCACCATCTTGTTTTTCGTTTTATTCTACAGTCTAGCACTGCCACTTCACCCTGTTCATTCTTCAACTCAGAAGTGAATTGGATTCCATCTACTACTGAGCTTATATGTCTGTATGTGTTCAAATTTCAACACGGTGATTGTGTCATCCACATATTTCCACCATAACCTAGGAGGAGCAGGATTAAACGTTCTAAGAGCCTTATGTTCCCAACTATCGATAAATATGTCTGCTGCTACTGGGGATATTTATTGTTAATCCTATCGCCACCCCATTCGTTTGTTTATATAGTTTATTTTAAAATTTAAATACAATGGAGGCTGTAAATAACCGATCAGCCAATATTATTTCAACAACCGAGAGCTTAGTCCTATTCATGAGTTCAGGATCAATGTTCAGTCCATTCCTGACTTCCTCCAGATAACGTCAAAACTAGTCATTTTTTAAATTTTTTTTCTAATTGAATTTCCTCTAGTTTCTGTTTCATAACATAGGAATTAGCTAGCCAAGAATTTCACCTATCCCTAATAGGGTATAACATTGATGCTAAATATTTGGATAATTTGTACGTTGGCGTGTTCCTAAAGTTAACTGTTGGCCCTGTAGGGAGGGTATCCTGCTTTGGGAATTTTGATAGTCCTTTACATTCCACTAGGATTATTAGTTTTTGATGCAAGATTAAACAATTTTGACTTACCCAAATATGACCTCATACGGCGTACTAGATCACTAGCAGATTTTTTGATTTTATTCATAATAGTGTCCACAGGTTTATTAACTTCCCCATATAGTCACGTCTCAATATGACGGGACTGACCTTGTTTACGTATTCTGATTTGTCCATAACTACTATTGTATTTTCCTTGAGCGATTTTGCGATCTCTGCTTTTTTTTATCGTTTCTCAAGCTTTTTAGAGCTACCATTTCTTTTTGTGATAAGTTGCTTCTTCCTTTCTTCTGGCGTTTTAGTGTCAATGTACATTGTGCTCTGATTCGTTCCGGAGTGTGACTAAAATTGATATGATTGTGAACAATTATTTATGCTCAAAACTTTATTCATTTGTTCATGCTGCATCACTGTGTGATATTTAAAATAAACTTATCTAATATAGAATCCCTTTTATAAGTTGTTTTTTTTTCATTCAGACAGTCAGTATGATGCTTAATCTAATTTAACGATTTCTTTCCACAAATCTAGACCAAGGGTTCTGAGCACTGTGACTCGTGTGTGGAGATCATACAGACATGCTACCTATCGTGAAGTGACCGTGCTTATAACACCAATAATGGTGGTAAGTTCAAGTTAGTCGATGTATTTTCTTTAGTTTGCTCGTATGTAAATGATTTTTGTCTGGCTAAGAAAGTGTATTTAATAAGAATTATTCGAAAGACTTTAAAAAAATTATATTCGTAAAATCTCAGCGAAATTGAAATTAATCATTTCAATTATTTTTTCAAATATCCGGTCAAATCTTGATCACAGTTCATATGCATTATTCGAAAGCTTGACAATGTGAAGTTGACTCGATGAAATTAGGTGCAATATTGTATCAAATGCTGAAAATTCCACACTATAACATGAGTAATGTTTTGAAATAAAACAAACTATTATTAATTATTGTAAATTTCTCATTCTAAACTACTTTGAAACAAAATGATAAATATTTAATAATAACTTTCTGAAGCTATCTCTTTTTTCACTTGTTCTATTATAGAATGAAAAATGGATGGCTTTAAGCAAAGCTGATACATACTTGATGTGGTTCTATAGCACTCACTGACTAGTCTTATTTCCTATAAGCAGATTGTAAACTCAGTATCTTGCCGTCGGAACAAATCTGCTTAGATAGCTCTCACAAAGTGTTTAGAATATGTGAAAATGTGTTTCCCTGGATGAAATTTCGTACAATGTCAAGGATTCATATGTTACACGTATAAGATAAACCAGAACATAGTCAGAAACCAGAGGTACTTATGGTAACTTTCATCTCTGCGTTGGACATTGAAAAACTGAGGAAAAGGAATGAGTTTCTCCTTCACTTAATTACCAGTCCCTTCAACGATTAGGACTAATAACCAGAGAACATATCGAACACAGGACTTAATGCTCTTGCAAATCAATCTTTATCATTAGGCCACCAGAGTGAATTTCACATTCCTCCTTAGAGAATTTGAGAAGTTGGTATCGGTTTTCAAGCTATTATTGGATTTCTTTGGAACTCTAATTACTCAACTGCATAGTGTAACTACTTACTAAATATTAAATCACCATTACTATATTCTGTTGAATGAAACCTATTTCATTCGATTCCTTAAAGTGTGAGTTCGCACAATTGGTTCTTGAACTAAAGACATTTTGGTTCAAATGACTGTTTGGAACAGTCTCTAATATTTATTAGTCCACTTTGAGTGAAAGTCAGTTAGCTTAGTAAAAGCTATACTAATCTGAGTTCATGATATCAGCAGTCACTAAAGAGATGAGTGTTACTGTATGACGTATTGTAATTCAAAGTGATAAAACTTAAGAACCAACTTTGCAGCTTCACATTTAGATATGATCGAGAAGATTTGTAACTCAGGTGGATGATTTTCATGTGGTTGTGTTCTCTGAACTGGATAGTTTATTGACGAAGCTTTCATCACCCTACTAGGTGACATCCTCAGTGCATACTTCAATTTGTTGAAGTGAGCTTTTGGATTTCTCCACGAGCTTATTAGTCATCTCTCCTGGTAGGTGACCTTCTATGTGATTGGTTGCTTTTGTGTGTTTTCACACCCTGTGGACTACTTGTATTGGAACTGATTGTTTCTTTGACTTGAACTTTGACCCTTTGTGTGTGTGAGGTTTCTTTCTTATCGGTTGATAAATTTTGTCAATCTCGATGTGTCATTCATCGCCATGCATTTTTCATTCTATAATAGAATAGCTGAAAAATGTGATAGCTTCAGAAAGTTATTATTAAATATTTATCATGTTGTTTCAAAGTAGTTTAGAATGAGAAATTTACAATAATTAATAATAGTTTGTTTTATTTCAAAACATCACTCATGTTATAGTGTGGAATTTTCAGCATTTGATACAATATTGCACCTAATTTTATCGAGTAATATTAAAAATAGTTATTGTTATTACTGTTTCCTTTAATTCCTAGAGGTACATAGGGCTTCAGCCGCACAACTTCATTGCGTCCAGTTCTCTGCCAACCTTTTCATTTGGCTACACGTCTGCCCACATGATTTCATCTCCTCTTCACATGACCTACTCCATGACACCCTACCTCCACACTGACGACCAACCCGCAACATCCAATTCGGGTTCCACTCGAGCGATGGCCTGACATGAGATGTCACTTGATGGCTTGTTTTCTCAGAGTATGGCCAATCAATCTCCATTTCTTCCTGCATATTTGTTGCACACTCGGCTCCTTGTTGGTTCGTTCATTGCCAGAGACCCCTGTTGCTGATATTTTCTGACCGGCCATCTGATCCTGAGTAGAGAGCAAAGACAGCTGTTGATGAAGATCTGTAGTTTGTTTGAGATGCTCTTCATGACGCACCAAGTCTATGATCCGTATAATGAGTAGCACTGACTTCACATTGGAGTTGAAAATCCGGATCTTATTTTTCATGCTGAGTGCTGTTGACCTCCACACAGACTTGAGAGTAACGAAACCTCGGTTTACTTTCCTGATTCTTGCTTTGATATCCTCGTCAGTTCCGCCTGTAGTTGAGACGATGCTTCCCAGGTCGGTAGTTAAAAAGAGGTTGCTCCTATCAGAATCCTCCCATTTATTCTGATAGTAGTCTGTTGTTGTTGCTGCTGGTGGTGTTAGTCAGGAATCTTCATCGCTTCTGTTTTCTCTATGTTCACGTGAAGCCCTATCTTCTCTGGATGCTTCTCCTGACAACTTGTTGCTTTTCCTTTGCATATCTTACAGTTTGTGAGAAATCAGACATATATCATCGGCGAAGTATCTATCCTCTAAGTTTTTTGTGTGGGTCCATTTTATGCCTTTTCAAAGTCAATGAAGTTGAGATAGAGAGGTGACTGCTATTCCAAGCTCTATTCAGTGATAATATGTAGTTTTGTGATTCGGTGGATGTATGACTTGTTCTTCCTGGATCCAGCCTGTTCCGGTGGAAGTTTTTCATCCAGGTTGACGTGTTTGATTCTCTCCAGGATGATGAGGCTTAGTATTTTGCTTCGAATGGACAGAAGTATAATGCTGCTCCATAATTGTTAATGGCAGTTCTTATTTGGTATTTGTAGTGACAGCGGCGTCATATATATGTATGCGAAAAAATTGTATACATATATGATAAGGTTGGCAGCTAAGATTGTCAGTTAAATGAGATATTGTCACCACATATTACAAATGAGATATTAAAAGGGCCAATTATTTATCTAGCAACATAGTTGTTCATAGGTTTCAAGCTGAATATTGTCTCTATCGCCAAATATGGTACCGTTGAGTCCATTTACTTGGTAGGACGAGCATAAAATCTTTTGGACTGATTGCTAGTCCTACCAGATGAGATACAAAGGGGGACCTGAGAATAAAGGGGGTGTTGTGGGTTAGACAGTATAGATTTAGACCATTTCTCGCATGAGTTCAGATGCCTGTCAACTAATGTAGTGACAAGTTGACTAAGTTGTATAATAGTGATAAAATCATAGTAGGTCTTTGAATCCTGGGTAGCAGTGCTACCAGAGGAACACTTTAAAGTTCGTTTAAAAAATCCCTATGATAATCAATATCAACTTTCATGTTACATTTCGTGTTATATAGTAGTACCATACTGATAAGATATTTCCACCTCTAAACTCCACTTAAAATTGTGTTCAGTTTATTCAATTTATTTTCATACTAAAATATCTTTTCCAAACTGTCACTCAGTCGATTTTCTCAAACCTCACACTGTCAACTGTCGTGTCAGGCGCACAATACTTTACTAACCAAAGTTATTCTTACGTAAACTCTGAATTTCATTACTTCATATTGCTTCAATGGTTAACCGAAGTGACTTTGATTATAAATAGTGCAAAATAGAAAACTAAATATCTCAGAGCGCAAGTAAATTTTATAATTTCAGCTAACCAGTTGGAAATTTATACATAAAGCCATTTTAACATTAGTAATTTGCATATGGAGTTTTTTTAAATCCTGTAAATTTAGTGTCTTGTATCTATATTTTCAATAGTTGTTTCCCTTCGCCAAGATGTCAGTTTCTAGCGATAGATGAGAACACTTAAGTTAGTTTGTTTTGACGTATACAATTATTATCAGTGTTCCCTCGGATTCCAACACATCACTATTCAATCATGTTTTATACAGTCCTTTCAGCTAGTTATACGACTGCCCACTGTCTCTCATCTCCTCCCCACATGATTTTCTATATGTCACTCTCAGGCACACCCCCAACTCGTCGTTTGAAACTCGAGTTCCAGTCTATGTAATGTTTAGCACACGGTGTCATTTAACTGTCTGCTGAGCATGTAGTCAATCCATCTTCATTGTGCTCGTGATATTTGTTGAGCAAGAGGTTCTTGTTTGGTTCGTTGCTAGAGTGCCTTGTTGCTTATTCTTCGTGGCTAGCCATTTGATCCTCAGAACGGAACCAGTGAGGACAGCTGTTGATGGAAGTCCATAATTGCTTGTAGGAAATGGTATTCGTGATGCATTTACCCAGTTTCTCAGCCGTATAGTAGAACTGATTTAATTAACATTGGTGCTGAATATCCGAATTTTGTTATATTGTGCTGAGTTCAGGAGATTTTTAAACTGGTTTCAGAGTGATGAATGTCAGTCTTGTATTTTCGTTCCTGTCTGGCTTTAAAATCCTCATCCGTGTTGTCACCTGAAATTGACATGATGCTAACTCACTCAAATTTCTACTGTTGGTAGTGAATGGTGCTAGTTGTTTTTGTTGACTGATTATCTTTATCACCTTTGTCTTCCCTCAAGTTAGCTTGTTTCAACAAATATAATAGTTCACGCTTTTTTCTACACATGCCTAATAAATATTCACTACATGACATATTTAAATTTAGGAAAAAGCAAGGGAATACTTCAATTGTCAACAACTAGATGGTGTAGAACTTGAAAGTGAAGAAAGTGAGGGCAATAGACAACACATTGAACGGAGAATACTTGAAGTGAGTCCATGTAGAAACTCTGTAGTACTTTAAAGTTGTACCATATTGAATATATATCATGATAATTATTTTTTTTATAAATTCTGTGCATTGAATGAATATTGTAAATAACATTTTAAATTGTGTATAGGTTTAATTGTTTCAGTTGCATCGAATATCTGTGCCAGAATTCAAGCTTTCGTTACAGGATTTCATCATGAGCTGACATCCGTAAGAGAACCATTGGAAAACCTGAGAGTATTGGACAGTTGTTTCGTCCTAGTTTGGGACTCTTCAACGGTACGCATCCGCCGGGTTCGCACCCAGAACCTTCTGGTCACAAGGCGAGCTCGTATACCAGAAGGTCCTGGGTTCGAACCCCGGTTGGTGCGTACTGCTGAAGAGTCCCAAACCAGGACGAAACAGCTCTCCAATACTCCCACGTTTTCCAATGGTTCTCTGACCAATGTCAGCTCATGATGAAATCCTGTAACCAGTCAACCAAATCCCTACAAACCAATATTTGAAATTCAAGCTTTCATTTATTCATCCAGAAACAGGTGAATTCGCCAAGTCTTTTTAGAACCAATAAACAAATTAAGTTTACTTTTAATTCCAGTGAATAACATTCATTATTTCTATAATCCACTACAGATGATTAAATAAATAATTCCTCATCGCTGTTAAACCATCCTCCTCAGAGAACGCAACCACACCAATATATAAATATATGCGTAAATATCTATTTTATTTATTTATTCTTTTCCTTTACGTTCCTAGTGGGACCTAGGGCTTCAAGATTGAGCCTTCAAGTTTCAGTAGTATTGGTAGTCCTTTACAACCGGTGGTGTTGTTAGCCTCACGCCAAACCTTCCTTCTTTGCCAGCCTTATTACCAACTAAGCGAGATTTAGCATTGAGTTGGCGGAAAGTTGACGTAAGGACCACGTGCTGGTAGACCAGGATTACAGACTTTTATGTGGTGAGTAATTAGTGTAAATTAGAGGGGTATTCTCAGTCTTAGCAAGATTCGAACAAGTGGTTTCAGAATTACCAGTCCGTCACTCTACCAGCTGAATTACAAGACAAAGGTGCTATGAGGTCGGTTATTTGATGCCATTTGAGTGAGGGACTCCGCTTAAAGTCACCACACCTAGGTATATTGTTAGGCATAACCCACGGTGATTAAAGTGAATTCGTGGTGTGATTAAAGGTTGACTGTCATAGTTATATATATATATATATATATATATATATATCCAAACCAAGTTCACTTTTAACAGTTTGAAAAAATTTGGGCATTGGGTATATGATATTCATTATAATGAAGGTTTTTGTATTTCCCAATGAATGAAAAACAAAACGATATTGCTGTGTTTACAGACGTTTCGCTATTTAATGCTGCTAATAGCTTTATCAAAGTATTATTAAACCGGAATTTACAAAATCTCAGCATATACGTAAGAAAGAGTTGAGGGGTCAGAAAATAGACTTAGGTCAAATTAAAAGGAGAAAATTGATTTTGACAATATTGAAATAATCCAGAAAAATTTTAGAAATCACAAAGAACGTCTGATATCAGAAGCACTTCATATCAAGTGGAATCAAAATTGCCTGAATAGGAATGATGGACTAAAACAGAATCTGACCTGGTTACAACACCACCCACCCCCATCAAGTGACAAAATCAACACGAATTTGATATGCAAGTTCACTATGTAAACACACACTGTCCTTGTAATTTTCAACACTGATCAAATCCAACATTCTACACTTGGTTTTGTTATCTTTACCAATTGACCAACTTGACAACGAAAAATGCACCCAGACAGACGAACGATGATTAAGTTAGTAAACTTTATTTTGATACCATAACAGATGTACTATTACCTTTGTTATTAGGTTTATTGATCTTCATTCCTATTTTCACTTTCAATATGTCCTTTTAACTTGACCTAAGTCTATTTTCTCACCCCCTAGCTGTTTGTTACATATATGCTGAGATTTTGTAAATTCCGGTTTAATAATACTTTGATAAAGCTATTAACAACACTAAATAGCGAAAGGTCAGTAAGAGAAACAATATCGTTTTGTTTTTCATTCATTGGAAAATACAAAAACCTGTATTATAATGATTGTCATAGGTTATTGTGTAGAACGTCAGTATAGTTATGCAAATGCCATTGATTCCAATCCTTCAGAGACCCACATTTTTTTATTTCATCTTGAATACAACCTTCAATACAACAAAAACAGTCTGGAGATTCAGTTCTGCTCTACACTGTCTTTGACATGTATATGTTTCCAATAGCAGTATAATTTTACTCGTCTTTATTCCTCACAGACATTGTTTGAGATTCAGTTGATTCCCAACAACTGTTTCAGAAAGATAACAGAGATTCCATAGGATTTGTGTCCTACGAATACTCTTGATCCTTTAAAACACATCTGGCATCTTTGTGAACAGAGAAGGCCCTGTAAATGTATACACACATACATGTGTAAACATATTATTTGGTCCTCGCTGGGCATCCATGAACAAGACGTGATTTCGAAAGATTGAAAACCAAACTTTACTCGATACTTTTTTATCTTATTGTGATGGCCTTACATTGCTAGTTCTCTGTACAAAAGACTTCGTCTGAAACACCCCTTTATTATTATTTTTTTTTAATTCCCACTCAGAATGAAATAATGACCGCTCTTTACACCCAACGTTCATACGTTTCGCCAATTCTCCTTGGATATTTTGAAGACACCGGGTTAGTTCAAATTTTTTTCGGGTATTATTAAAAGAGTTTCAGAAATTCCTTATTAATTTATCTATTGGGTATGTCTTTCTTCTTCATTATCATAATAGTTGAAACTACACAGCTTACAAGATAAAAATAGATTTTCAAAACTGTGTAGTTTCAATTGATATGGCTACAAAGAAAAGATTATGCTCGAAACACCATCCAATAAATAATACTTTTTACCACAACAATGGCTTCATTACGCTCAATAAGTTTACTCAATACACACAACTTTCAAAGAAGTTTATGGCATAACATGTTCTCTTCATCCAGGAGTTTCAAGTGAAACAGCCATCTTCAGTACATCACGTGACGCAGTGAAGTTAGATCTGAAGAATAAAATAATCCTCTACGGTATTTTTCTTTGGCCCTCCAGAAGTAAGCAACAGTAGGTTGGATACCAATTTAAAATGTGCACAAGTACATTTGACGACCGATGGAAATAATTGAACCATTATAACAACAATAACTAAAGAAAATAAGATGCATTGTCCTTGTTGGAAATTCAGATAGCTTAGTGAATCAAGCAGGCCAGTGTGTCTTATGTCCTCCCAATCGGCCAAATGTAGGGAATAAAAGCGGACATTTCCGGGAAAACACGGAAGGAAAGGGGCAATTTCTTTTCAAAGGGGGAAAAATGTCGATTAAAGGGGCCAATGAGGGGAAACCACGAAAAATGTTACTGTACGCGGGAGGTTACTGATAAATTGTAAGTAGCTTAATTTTTCTGTTGAAATTGCGTTACCAGTACTTGAACTGATGTGTTGTTCTAACACCAGCAGTTTCCAGTTGAATCTTTTTCTTAAAATCTAACAAGCAGAACACAGAAGGAAGTACTAACACTTAAAAGTAGGAATGGCAGTAGAAGTAACCCGGCAACTTAAGTGTTTTTCGTCATATACTGATCAAAACAGACCCACACGCATTCATTAAGAATAGTGGCCGATACCATTAGATTGCAGTCACACTGAGAAACAGACTTGTGACTTCTTATTGTCACTTTGACTGTGATAATATAAGGGGTCAATATACTTGCTAATAATGTCACAAATGACATTAAAAATTAATCAAATCTCTGAAACAATTGTCTGAGATTTAATAAACCAGATTGTGTGACTCATCATTTAACAAATTAAGTATTAAATATGGGTTCATGCTTACTGAACAATCAGTGGAGTTTATGAAAACATAAGTGGTCAATGTTAATTGCAGCGTAACTAAATTTTTTGTTTAGTTGAATTCCAGTCACCTATTAAGCGCGCACTTTTAAACTGTACACAATGCAGGTAGGTGGTAGCTGTGGTTAATGTAACCAACGTTCGCACTTCCATAACAGTACATTTTACAGAAGGTATAAACGTATCTATGAGCTGTTACTGGCCAAGATCTCTGTAACGTCAACGTTACCGGAGGTTGTCAAAGCTAATGTCCTTCCTGTAAACATCGAGCCTTCTTCAGTGAACACTGACACCATGACCATGGAAACCGAGGTAGTGCCATCGCCATCTTGCAGCAGCCTAACACCAGCTGCCAGTACTTCACAAATGTGCCCACAAGTGTCTTCTGAACGTGATGAAATGACAAGTATGCTACTAAAAATCATGGTTACCACGATCATGTCATAAGCAAACGGTAACAAAATCTTGAAGATCTTCCGTGAGAGATGGCCTCAAATAAAAATGGAATTGCATACTACCACAGTGTCGTCCAAGTTTTGCACATTTATTAGGGTTTTAATAAGTCTTAATCACAAATCATGTCAGTTTTTTATAATACTGTCTTGTTCCAGGATAGCTTTAAATGCCAGTTTGCTTGGAAGAATAGGAGGTCCACTAAATTTCCAGTATTTGATTGTGTTCAGTTTCTCTGTGCGGGAATGAAAAGTTGCTTTGTGTTAAATTACAGTACTTTATGTGCTTAAAAGCAAATACTTGTAATTAACATTTCTTTGAGCTACTCTTTATCATAAAAAAGTTTGTTGTAAATAGTCTTCAGAAATACCAGGCGGAAATATTTTCTGCGCAAAGTTAATCGTCCAAAATATTTGCGCTTAATGACACCAAAAGTCTCTTAACCTTACGGCCATAGGGATTCCTGACCAGCATGCTTTCTCCTAATTACAAAAAGTTGTCTTATTAGAAGTGCAACAGTTTCCAAAATCACCTTTTAATCTAAGAGCAGTAACTTTGAAAAGAGTACCTGTTTTAATTATAGGACTTACACGATTAAAATTCCCAATAAATAGAGAGTATGCATGAATTTCCAACGTTCGAAACTGAATACATGAAACAGTCAAGGATAGAAATGCTAAGCTAGTTAGACACAATATTTGGAAAGAGTAGGGAACTGTGTAAAACTTGATTTTTTTAAGTGATGACATCACATCCCTACAAATCAACTCTTGAAAATTATTCAGAACAAAATATTTAGAGCGAACAATTGTGGTTTCAATAAATTCTTCTTCAGGCTATACAATTATAAATCCATTAATTTAAGCATACAATAGCCAGTCAGTAAAGGCAAATTAGAATCATATCAGAAAGTGTATTGTGGAACAAGTATAAGATGGGATGGAACAATAGTCAGATAGTTTTTTAATATGCATGGTCAATGAGAACATGGGACAAAATCAGATGAAGTAATTTAATTTAATGATGTGTGTATATATATAAATATAGTCAACAAAAAATACAGGTTTCGAGAGTGTGTGTAATCAGGATGTGTGAGACAATATGAAAATAAACCAACGAATGGGGCAGACTAGACATAAGCTCAAGGTTGAAAATGACGACAGTAAGAATGATTGTAAAATAATAACGATGATATGGTGTAAAATTACAAGCACTATTGGTGAGTGATTGTCAAATAATAATAATGAATATAATGAAGTGGAATGAACAGGATTTTGTAAATACGATAACAAGTTAGAAAAGCACTACTTAAACCTAAGGTAATAAAATCATAAGAAAGGTCATGAAATCATAAAAGTCGAAAATGAACGTTTGTCAATGAAACAGAGGAATAGAAGAAGAAGAAAAGAAAAGAAAATTGTGAAAGGAATTTATAGTGTTAATGGAGGATTTGTTGGCTTTATTGTAGGCCAAGGTAAACATAGAGGTTGAACATACTTCTTCTGTATGCAAAGAGATGGTCTTCTGGTATTAATTGCCACCGCTTCAGCTACTGATAGAAGACGCAGTCGAGCTCCTCTAGATAAATTACTAGGAACGCGGTAAATAACTGAGAACGCCTGGTCAAGTTTTATCTGGTGTCCAGTATCTACCAAGTGGGCTAAGACTGCACTATTTACACATTTGGTTACTCCTTTACTCAACCATACAGGTACATGTTCACGCGCGCGCATGGATAAAGCCCTCTGAGTACGGCCAATGTAACTAGCTCCATATGAGCAGTTGAATTCATAGATGCACATTGATGAGGCCATCTTTGGTAATTTATCCTTGACTTGCTGTGTGAGTACTGGTTTAGTTGAGAAGTTGAGTACCAGTTTAGCTGCAGGAAATGTTCTATCTACTGCTCTATTAAGTCGACATTTTAGAATGTCAGCTGCAATTTCCCCTTTGTAACTTAACTTAAGATACAAAGGTTTCTTTTTCTTCTATTCTTGAAAATTAATCTGATAGTCGCTGATGACTGGTTACAAGACAGAATTTCCTGGAGTTCTAGTGAGAAATTGTAAGCAGTAGGGTACATTCTGTTGGGAGGGGGGATAAATGCTCACTGATGACATTGTCTGGTACCAGTCGCACTAAAATCACGAATAGGTAGAAGTTATAATTCATGGGCTGTTGAGTCCGTTCCTAGTGGCTGAATGGTTCACGAGGTTGCCTTGTGACTGGAAAGTCCTGGATGGGTCCGTACTGCAGATGAGTCCCAAGCTAGGACGAGTCAGCTGTCCAGTACTCCCTAGTTTTCAAGGGTTCTCTCACTGATATTAATCTGTGGTCAAACTCGAGGAACAAATCAACTCTTGAAAATGGTGAGTAGTCATTTTTTGTTCTATTCCTTTGTCGTTGCCTACTTAAACACTGGAAATATTTTACTTTCGAAATGTTTATTATTATATTCGTTGAATTTGCTCATCACGTTTTCAATACTCTATCCCAATGCCATTACTGGTTTCTTATAATTTAGGTGGTATATTCCAGATTATACAAAAGCAAACAAGATTACCTATGGTAAAAACCTTGGATGTAATTTTATCATGAGGAGTTGTTACGAATATATGCAGATACAGAAAGCAAAGTGAGAAATACTTTTTTTTCTTTTGTAGTATTTTATAAGTTTACCTGAGCAACAGGTAAAGAGTTTACTCCTAGTCTTTTACGAGTTGGACAAGTATAATCAAAGCAGTTATTTCAGATAATTATATTTGATCTAATCCACAATACTCAAACTTTTTACTGATATCAATTATTTGAGATTACATTTTGCATAATAACAAATATCTAAAACCGCTATATTTTTATTTTGTATGCTCTTAGTTAGCATACCATTAAGCTTATGGTAGAATGTTTCACATTTTTGAATTTTACGACTTTTATCACGAGCTGACATCAGCTAGAAAAATAACTGGAAAAGAAGGGAGTATTAGACAAAACTATCTCGTCCTAGTTTGTGACTCGTCAACAGTACTCACCGAGTGATGTGCTAACCCCGGCAGGACTTTCCGGTAACAAAGCGAACTAGTAGACCATTCAATTCCCTTGTCTTTAATGGAAGCATACAATATAAATTAAAAGTTTCCTAATATTAAATTCCCTTCATATGAACTGTGATCAAGATTTGACCGGATAGTTGCAAAATAATTGAGCTCTGAGTGAGAAGTAAACATTTATAAAATTATATTTGTAATATCTCAGCGAAATTGAAATGATTAATTCGTTCGGCAATCTGGTCCGAACTTCTTCAGGGAAATTAATCGAATTAACATAACAGAGGTTTATGTATAAAAGGAACAACTCATGTTTTTAAATTTTGTCCAATCATGAGTCATGCAACAGTCATCAACATGTATAATAAATAAATAAAATAGTGTGTTTATATATGAAAGTACATCTCTTGTTTTTAAATTGTTTGTCCTGTCATGTGAATCAGGAAACAGCTATCAATAGGTATAATAAACAAAACAAAGCAAAATTTTTATATGAACTGTGATCAAAATTTGACCTCAGACTTTCAAAATTAGTCTACTTTTGTTAAAATATATGTGTATATGTGTATATGCAGTATCAATGGTGTGTGTGTGTGTGTATGTGTGTGGGTGAACAGTCATAAAACATTTGTTATTCTCATAGGAGCTGAGGTCAAGATCTGACCGGATGGTTACAAAATAATTTTATAAATTTGTTATTCTCTCCATAAGAAGACGTAGACAATCGGGAATTTGATCAAGTGTGACTAGTTGTTACATATCCAATTTATTTATTAGTCAGGATTTGCCATGCATCAGCTAAGATCCCACCTTCACGTCTGTTCAAACTGTTGGGATTCACCCATATATGTAGGGCTTCTGCAGTCAGTCCTTCTTTATATGAACCAAAACCTTTCTGTAAAACCTTAGTCTTATCAAAGTCAATTTTGTGTCCCGTTTCTATCGAATGTAGTGCAATCGCTGAGTTGTTTTCTAGCTTCTTCAAGTCTGCAGAGGTCTTTGGAACCACCTTTAGACATTGTTTATGCTCTTTCACTCTTACATTTACCTGTCTGGAAGTTTCTCCTACATATACGGCGTTACAATCCCCACAATTGATCTGGTATACACAATTTTTTAAAACATGAGTTGTTCCTTCTATATATAAACCTTTGTTATGTTAATTCGATTAATGTCCCTGAAGAAGTTCGGACCAGATTGCCGAACGAAACGTTGGAATTAATCATTTCAATTTCGCTGAGATATTACAAATATAATTTTATAAATGTCTATTAAATTCTCTGTCTAAGGAATAATTTGTCTTCTCTGATAAATTGATTCCAGCCATTTTTAAAGAATCCACAGGGCTTTTTGATGTTGAATATTTCATTGGAACGGAACATTAGTCTTTTAAAAATGTCTATCGAAAATACATCCTCCGTGAAAAATTATAATAACTTGGTTGGTCACTAGATAGTTAACATTTCTTAGTAGTAACTGAATTCTGTCATTTGTGGGTGCAGTGTCACCAAAGCGGGTGAACTACCATTATAGTACACTTTGAGTTGAACTTAGTTGACTGGAAACAGCTGACAAGAAATGACATCTTTCTGTGAAGCAGTATATATTATTTTCACAACCAACAGCTTGTCAGGATTATTATCATTACTGTTTCCTTTAATTCCTAGAGGAATATACGGCTTCAGCCGTGCGTCTCCATTACGTTCGGTTCTATGCTAGAGTATTCACCTGGCTCCAAGTCTGCCCACACGTTTTCACCTCCTCTTCACATGACCTCCTCCAAGTCACCCCACTCTCACACTGTCGACCAACTCGCCGCTTCCCTTTCAAGTTCCACTCGAGCGATGGCTTGTCTAGTGATGTCACTTGATGGTTTCCTCAGAGTATGGCCAATCCACCTCCATTTCTTCCTGCATATTTGTTGCATAATCGGTTCGCTCCCAGAGATCTCTGTTGCTGATCTTTTCTGGCCATCATTCTGATCTTGAGTATTGAGCGAAGACAACTGTTGATGAAGGTCTATAGTTTGTTTGTGATGCTCTTTATGACGCGCCAAGTCTCTGATCCGTATAGTAGCACTGACTTCACATTGGAGTTGAAAATTCGAATCTTATTTTTGACGCTGAATGTTGTTGACCTCCACACAGCCTTGAGAGTGGTGAAAGCTTGTTTTGCTTTTCCGATTCTTGCTTTGATATCCTCGTCAGTTCTGCCGGCCTGTAGTTGAAACGATGCTTCCCAGGTCGATAGGTAAAGGAGTTCCTTCCACTTATGGTGACTGTTGTCTGTTGTTGTTGCTGTTGGTGGTGACAAGCTTTTATTGTCAACTTGTCAGGACACCATTTCTTTTTTTCTGAGAAAAGTTCTCTGCCATTAATATTTTCAGACCAGTTCGTTAGAATTGGCTAAACATTTCTTTAATTAAGCATAATTAATGTTCACTTTATTATTAGTTCCCTCTGACCAGTTTTGTAGACCAATTAAAAAGAAACTCCCAGTCATTTCTGCTAAAACTGAAATTAGTAATGAGGATCTTCTGAGTAACGCTTTGAATAATGCTTCAGTCATTCACTTCAGAATTAATTCATATTCCATATTAGTTCATACTTCTTTTAAGTTTTCTAAGATTTTGTGTCGAGTGAATAATTCGTTGTATTTTTTGCTTTTTATTTTTTTTTCATATTTTAGAGGAGAAAGCTTTTATCCATACTGCGATTACCATGATTTTTATAAAACTCTTTGCCTTAAAAACCAAAACGCCTACGGATACTGTGATTTGACTACATTCACAGACGATTTGGATGCTGAATTCCGGTATTTCGAGAATCCTAGACTCGGTGGGAGAGGCAAACACAGAGATAGGTGTCCAATTTATATGGTTGAGTGATTTTATACATTATTAATTATATACATATTTATATATATAAATATCTATTTTTGTTATCATACTATTTTAAGTTTCAAACGCAAAACTCTGTCCTAAAATACACTCAATGAGTAATCCAACAGTATTATAAGGGATTTAAATCTAACCGTATACTGAGTGTACTATTATTTTTAGGCTGCAATAGCTGGTTATTATTATTAGTATTCGAATAGTGAAAATCAGTGAAAATATTTCTAATAATCGTAACTGCTTTATTCTCGGCAAAATGTCTACACTATGAACAAAATTATTAGCCTAATTTATCACATAATATTTATCTATGATGGAGAAGATTTGCAACATTACACTAGTTACTGACTAGTGTGCAATCAAAAAGATACGATAACCTGTTAATTTATTATTTGTTATAAAGCTAGTTTACAACCTTTCTCAAAGAGATTATGACTTATTTTATTATCAAAAAGACTAAAATGTATTTCGAATTCTGGGAACCGAATACCATTTGTCACAACCTTATAATAATAGTAGCAGTAATATCAATAATGATGATAATTTTTTGTCTTTTTAGCCATATGAGGGACTTTTTGGAATGCAGTCCTATTGTAATGCCCCTGAAAGAGATACAGAAATCCGTAAGTTCGCTATATAACGCTGATTTCCAAAATATTCCAAACTTGTGGACTAGTATGATTATTAATATCTGAAATTATATGTTCATCTCATACATTTGGTTCCTTGATAAATTTCGATAAAGAAAGAAAGACCAGATTTGCAGTATAATATTAAAATGATATCATCATTCTATTTCACAGGTTCTCATCAGCTGCAAATAATGACATTTCATACTTCAATGTTTGAAAGGTAGTAAAGAAAACATTATAATTGAACGCATCCGGAATATAAGTATTACAATTAGCTCTAGTTTAAATTATCATCAATTTATATGCTATCAAACTATGAAAAAAACTGAAGGGGGGGGGTGAGAGAAGACAGAGGAATCTAATCAACAGTGTTAGCTTGTACGTCAACACGGCAACTCAAGAAGTTTAAAGTTCACCAATCTGAAAACTGGCTTAGTGAGCTGAGCTCACTGATCTGTATGACTAATCAGAAAGAAGGACTTCCATCCAGTTTTCAAAGCATATTCCAAGAAACCTATGCTTAAAAGGAAGCAGATATTTACAAAGTGCAATTACCAGACACTTTTTGGTTACCCGTCATTTTGTCGAGATTTACTGAAGCGACTGCAATCAAACGTCTCAGACCAAACTTATGCACACAGAAAGACAGTGTGGTCAATTTCTCAATACTTTGGTAACCATATTACTTTGATTACACTGATTAGTCATACGGATCAGTGAGCTCAACTCACCAAGCCAGTTTTCAGTTTGGTGAACTTTAAACTTCTTGAGTTGCCGTGTTGACGTACAAGCTAACACTGTTTATTAGATTTCTCTGTCTTCTCTCACCCCGCCTCCAGTTTTTTTCATAGTTTGATAGCATATAAATTGATGGTAACTTAAACTAAAGCTAATTGTAATACTTATATTGCGAATGCGTTCATCTTATAATGTTTCCTTTATTACCTTTCAAACACTGAAGTATGAAATGTCCTTATTTGCAGCTGATGAGAACCTGTGAAATAGAATGATATCACATTTGATACTGCAAATCTGGTCTTTCTTTCTCTAACGAAATATGTTTATTGTTTGATTCATTGGAATAAAAAGCCATTCTTTAAATAAACGCACCATTACATTTTAATTTGCACATCTTATTTGTCTACCGTTAATTAGCGTGTCTTCGAACTTCTCAATGTTTATGATACGCTAATATTTATTTGTTACCACAGAACAAACAAAGTTTTGCAGCATATAAATCATACTTTCATTTCTACTTAGCAAGTGAAGTGACTAGTTGGATGTACCAGGGTAACATGGAGAAGATTTAGTACCGGTGGAAATGAAACCTTCCAGGTGGTAGTGGATGTCAGGGAACCAAGAAAACATCTCTGGAGTCCTGTATCTCTTTATCGGAGTGCAAGGTTTATTTATTATTATTATTGTTTCCTTTAATTCCTAGAGGAATATACGGCTTCAGCCGTGCGTTTCCATTGAGTTCGGTTCTCTGGTAGAGTCTTCACCTCGCTCAAAGTCTGCCCACATGTTTTCATCTCCGCTTCACATGACCTCCTCCAAGTCACCCCACCCTCGCACTGACGACCAACTCACCGCTTCCCTTTCGGGTTCCACTCGAGCGATGGCTTGTCTAGTGATGTCACTTGATGGTTTCCTCAGAGTATGGCCAATCCACCTCCATTTCTTCCTGCCTATTTGTTTCACAATCGGGTCCTGGTTGGTTCGCTTATTGCCAGAGATCCCTGTTGCTGATCTTTTCTGGCCGGCCATTTGATCTTGAGTATTGAGCGAAGACGACTGTTGATGAAGGTCTGGAGTTTGTTTGAGGTACTCTTCATGACGCACCAAGTCTCTGATCCGTATAGTGAGTAGCACTGACTTCACATTGGAGTTGAAAATCCGGATGTTATTTTTCATGCTGAGGAGTGCTGTTGACCTCCACACAGACTTGAGAGTAGCGGAAGCTTGTCTTGCTTTTCCGATTCTTGCTTTGATATCCCCGTCAGTTCCGTCCGCCTGTAGTTGAGATGATGCTTCTCAGGTAGGTAAAGTAGGTTGTTTCTTTCAGGTTCCTTCCATTTATGCTGATTGTTGTCTGTTGTTGTTGTTGCTGTTGGTGGTGTTGGCCAGGAATCTTCATCACTTCTGTTTTCTCTATGTTCACCTGAAGTCCTATCTTTGATGCTTCTTCTGCCAACTTGTTGCTTTTCGCTTGCATATCTTCCAGTTTGTGGGAAGGTTTAAGTAACAAAATAATAATTTCAATATTACATGATTCAATAAGATTGAACAAGAAAAAACCTGAAATTCAATTGTGTCAATAGTTTATAAAGGAGGTACATACCTTACCACTTCCCAATAAGGAATATCTGCTTACTTATTAATTAATACTTATTCTGAACTTTCATAAGAATTGTGTAGCATGCTTTACGAAGCCTATTAAATATCTTACAAAGTGCTTTGCAATAAAAAATATTCTTTTAACTGTTTTCAGCACCATCAAAAAATTACCTTCTTCATGGTTATGGAGAAGATGCAATTTGCATAGATCATGATAAAAGTAAACAATGGGAAATTCATGAACAGGGAAGAACCAAAGTTCAAGATTCACCTCAGTCAACATGTCTAAAGGTAATCTCAGAAGTGGATAAAAACAATAAAATTATTTTAAACTTTAAACATAAATATGAAAAGAAATTATTCGTTGGATTATTTTTTTTTCTCACTTAAGTGATGCTTATTTTAAGTTAGAGCTTCAACTTTTATAAGACTGCCATTGTGAAATTATAATAACACTACTTCGTTAATTTATGAGTTTACGAACATAATGAAAACCAAAAAATTCATCAATCGAAAAGATAATTATACCTTTTTGCTAAGATAAATAAACTTAGTTACGAGTTACGAAATGCACACCCTAAACACCCTCAATATGAATGAGTGTCACTGAGACACGAGTGAAAACGGAGAATTCTTGGAGCAACAAGAATGTTCAAGTCATCTAAATAAACATCTCGTAAATCTTTTTCCTAATTCATAGTTTAATGTAAAACACATAAAATATGTAATAGTTATGTCATTGTGTGAACACAGCAACGCTACAATAAGTGTCTTTGTTAAGGTATTTTATAAACTTACCCGAGATATAAGCTTCTAAGACTGAGTATTACCCATAAAGTACTTCATTGCCTTATTAGCGATAGTAAATGTTTCCTTTATTTATATACAAATAATCCGAAAATAATACTCACATTTGTTTAAGTGTGCTTCCGTCCTGACAAGGAATTTAACTTAAGCGACTGACTTCCATCAGTGTTTTAATAAACATGCTTGATATAAAACCACCCGGTCAGTTGAAACAGCACACTTATATATTGAGCACAGATATTCATGTTATTCACTGCAGTCTTGAGAGGATTTACATCAAGCGGAGTGACTGGCTACCACGCCTCCGATTTGTCACGGTAAAGGCTTCTTGTACGTTTCAGTCTATGCCAGTTGTTACCGGAGATAAAAAAGGTATTTTTGAACACTGTCATCATTTAAGTTAGAAATCATATGTATACGGTTCTATTCTACTTTTAGTTATTATGGATAATTAAACTTGTGAGCAAATAATTCTGTTAGCCGCTGACCTCTTGCAGCGAAACTACCTAGCTCAGAGAACAAGATGGCGGCGAAAATGTTAGCTTGTATTGAACATCTTTCTTATAATTTTGAAGGTTAAATATTGTCGTCACCTTCAGAAGACAATAACCAGAAATAATCTACCTGTCACTAACCACGAGATCAGACAAGCATCACTGATGAAAGTAAAAGCAATCTGGACGACGTCTGCAAGCTGAGCAACGATGAAAATTTCATCTTAATCTCCTATAAATCGTTCCTCACCTAAACCATTGTTTGCATGTGCACAATAATTATTTGGTCTTACATCATATTCATCTTTTGAAGGTATTCATATCAGACTTCTCATATTAACTGGAGAAACTTCAATCAAGACTTCTGAATACACTGCACTATTCACACATGAATTGCAAACTGTGTGTTCACGAATTTCCTATTGACTTCATAAGTAAAACACCACCAGGCAAACAACATTGTGTCATGTACTGGCCATCCTTTAAGACAGCTATTATTATTGACTATGACTTTATTTAATGCATTAATCATGTTTACTGGATTTTCACTCCAAACTGCTCGGCAACTTCCATATGTTTCCATGAACTGTGGCTTTCGTATGTTTGTTGAAGTCGGTCGGTTTTCGACATAGAACTTTGCACTGATGTGCGGCAGTTCAAGTCGCCACACTCCATGTAGCACACAAAGGAAGAGAAGAAAGTAGGAGAAATGCATAATATAGACAGTAAACAGAGGTGCTAGACAAAGGTATAGCAATAACGAAGAACAAAACAGTTTCCTTGGAAATCATAAGTCACAAGGAGTGGATGCATCTGCGCCAGCTAGCCATTGAGAACGATTTTGAGACATATCACCAATTGTTTCCAACCATTGGTTTTTACCGTCCCGAGGACCCCAACCAGGAAGTATACACCTCCCTACGTGGCTTAGGCTAACTGTTTTAGATTTCATTGACTGGTGCCAAGTTTTCGTTTGACCGCCGCTAGCTCTTTTCCAGCCTGACCTCATGTGTCAGCTAACATTGCCCGTCGAGGAAGGCGATGACTAGACATAAGTAACACATGTCCTAACCATCTCAGTCGATGTAATTTCACAGTCTCATCGACTGATTTCCCCTCCTCACCTAGCACTCGACCGACGCCTAACCTCAATATTGCTCACCTTATTATACCACTTCACGCGGGAGATATAACGCAGGCACCTATGATCGAACACATCTAATCTTTTCATGTATTCTGCTCTCAATGGCCAGGCCTCACAGCCATAAAGGAGGACGGAGTGGTCTGCTGAGCAGTACACACGCCCTTTGGTCGATAGTCGGATATCGCGTCTACGCCAGAGACGGCGTAAACTGGCATATGCGAAAATAGCCCTCTGTATCCGTACTGAGATTTGTTCAGAGATCAACCCGTTGGGGCTGATGGTACTTCCCACATAAGTGAAGCGGTCAGCGTGCACTACCAGTTCACTTCCTATCTCTAATCTATGGTTCGGTGTAATCCAATCCTGCAACATCATCATACATTTTACAGGGGAGAATTAACTCATAACAGAGGAAACTTCGAATTCCTTCCTGTATGAGAATGATAAATAACTACGCTTTATGTTGCACAGTCTGAAATCTACTATTGTATTCTATTTGAATAACTAACATAATTCACAACAATCTGCTTACACACTTCTTTGTTCTACTTTGCCGTCCTTCAGCACATATGTTCCGCAACGGAAGGTTTGATTTTAATTATACAAGATCAAAAAGAGTTAGTTTGTCCAGTAGAAGGGAAATACGTTGATTTGACGTACAACGGTCCAGGTTTCCAGGTTACTGGTTCAATTATTTGTCCTCCCTGTAAAGAGTTTTGCAAGGTATGTCACTCTTAGTTTATCAAATAACAAGTAAATTCTCTAATTTAAAATACATATGATTGTGTCTGACTGCACCTCGAGATAGAAATTTCAGTAGTATAATAAAAAAGCATGACACGAAATCAATTAATTAATTTCTACTCATGTGGAAGCAAACATTACTATTATCTTGCCCATTATTTGTATCTAGTTCATTTAAGTCGAAGTCATCCCTGTTATAAATAAAAGTAACCATCTTTTGTTAATTAAAAAATGCATTTCAGGAATAAAAGCAAATTTGGTTACAGGATTTCTCCTTGTTCTGTCGTTTAAAGAACCACTAGAAAACCTAGGAGTACTGAAGAGATGTTCTGTCTTAGTTCGGCACTCTTCATGAAGGCGGGCATAAGAACAAATACTCGCCGAAGACATTGGCTAGTGGTTGCGCTATGTCATGAATGGGTGGAAGTAAGAATTCATGGGTGAGCCATTGGATCGGGTCTCAGTTGCTTAGTGGTCTACGAGCTCTCCTTGTAATCAGAAGGTCCTGGGTTCGAATCCCAGTGGGTGCGTACTGTGAAGAGTCCCAAACTAGGATGAAACAGCCATCCAGTATTTAAATCCCAGGATGCACATGTTGCCTAACATACTTTGGAAAGTGATGAAGAAGCTCTATGAAGACGACTTTACAGTAATGAGTCTCATAAATGTAAGGAAAGCGGCTGAAGAAGCAATTAAATCTGAAATGTAAAGCACTTCAGTGTTTGTTATTTGTAGCAATACACTCTGCATAACCGACTAAATAGTTAGTTCACTATTACTAAAATAAAACATGTGAATTCCAATTACTGAGGTTAGCTAAATCTATGGAAATGGTTTCATCTGACAGTGTATCAATATTTTTCACGGTATGAGGAATGATTAAGAAGTGTTAAAATGTATGAAGGGGAACTGGAAAGTTATTAAATTATTGCTAGCTATTCTCCACTAGTCATGTACACATTTACGGACGTACAGTTATTTATAAGTTTTGGACATTTGAAAAATATTTTTTCTTCTATTATTTCTAGAAATGTCCAAGAGAATAATAAACAGCAGCAGTTTGTATATTGCACCAAATGTAGAAAACTATTGGATTGAAAACAGGAAAACAACTCAAACACTCTTACCACTACATCATCAAATGAACATATATCAGCTGGATAAAAAAAACATACATTGATGTACATTTCACCATAATTTTTCTCTTCATATTTTATGCTTCTCTGTGACTCGGTTTCATTTGTTAATAAAAAATAAAAGTTTACAAAATAAAGTCTTTACTCCTAGTATCTTGATACTTAATGCTTTAAGAATACAATATTCCCACGGACTTGTCATAGGCATATTCATGAAATTAATAAAGAGGTAAGAGGTGAGAAAATAGACAAGTTAAAAGGACAAATTCAAGGTCAAAATAACGATGAAGACCACTAAACCAAATATCAGAGGTAACAGTACAACTGCTATGGTATCAAAACAAAGTTTACCAAGGAAGGTTTAATGTGATGACGAACTGTCTTTGAACGCATAAAGGTGGCTTAAACTTTCTAATTGCCAGCTAGGGCTTCCACAAACTTTAGGAGACGCCCTCCCCAAAACACGTTTTATAGATAGGTTTAAAAGATTTGTTAACGTCAATTTTGTGTCCTGTCTCTATAATATGTTTGGCAATAGAGGAACTAGGTCCCTTGTTCTCAGCATTAATGGGTTCTGAAGATTCCATTTGTTTCTGGAGCCATTTAGGAATATGCCCTGAAGCCAGCCCATACTTGCAGAGATCGATGAGTCCTTTCTATGTATGTGTGTCCACACGTACATTCAAATTGGTAAATACAGTGGGATGTGACATCATTTTCCGCATGTTTAAAGGGCTTAGATAGATATATTCGCTTCACATTCTCAGTTATTACGATATTAGCTGCATAAAAAATCTTTCTAACAGCAGGGTTCAGTCTTTTTCTAGTTATCAGGCTGCTATGCTTTGATACCACAGCAGATGTACTATTACCTCTGTTATTTGGTTTAGTGGTCTTCATTGTTATTTTAACCTTGAATATGTCCTTTTAGCTTGACCTCAGTCTATTTTCTCACTTCTCAACTCTTTATTAATTTCATACATATTCCTATGGCAAGTTCGTGTGATCAGTTTGCTCGAAATGTGTTGCGCCAATACATTACACGATTCAGACAAATTACGTCTTGTTGCTTTATCTAAATAAATGAAAATTACCGATGAACCGGCAACAACGGTCATATTTTCTATCTTGGCCGTAGACGGATAAACATTCATTTATTCTTCGTTTCGTTTATCTAACCAGTACACCCTTCTCGTGTTATTGCGATGGTTATTAACTTCACCTTTCTCACTCTGAACAGTTTCCAGTATTATTCCATTAGGTCTATTTATTATCCTAAATCAACATATTTTCTGCAATGTTAAAATACTTATCATCAAACGTCTTTCCATGTTGCATAGTTTTTCACTTGCCTGCTGATGTGATTAATCGTGTCAATTTCACATTCATTTTCAAAATCCGTACATTCTTTGAACTATTTCAATTATGGTATTATTTATTTTATCACTCAATACTGAACTATAATTATAATCACAAATATTTCCTCGCCTTTGACAATATCACTGCTAATATTATTAGTAGTGTGACGACCGAAGACAAGGACCAGCCAACAGATCGTCTACTGAGAAAATCAACAGGTACCGATAGATTTTTATGTGTATCATTATTAGCGTTATTGTTAGCGGAGAAACAACCTCTTCTGATTGCTTCTTTTCTTGTTGAAGGCTATTCTGTTATCTCTATGTGGCTGTTTCTCAGAAAGTCAAAGCATATATCTGTGAATCATATTTCCACACGTTGACTCCTCTGTGATTGTCTGGTGATTTTCTCAGGGTTAGGCTTTGTGATTGCTTTTCTCATGACACCGATTCGGGACGTAAACATTGATGTAAATTGTTGTCTACAATTTTGGCGTGCAGACAACTCTCACCACAGTAGTAGTCAAACCTTTCGTTCGAACGTCCTCACGAGATGTACTTTCTTAAAAGTCACATATTTATATGATTGATTGTACAGCTTGATAATAATTTCGCTGAATTGAGTCTTTTCTCTGAATATTCCATTTAGAACAAGACATGTAAGCGAACATCACTTTGTTTTCAGTTACATATCATCAGACTTAATTCTGACATACGTAATTTTGCAGATAAATATATATTAAGCATAAACCAACCATGTTGATTTGACAATCGGAAGATAAGACTGTGCATATAAATTGTGTGACTAGTCATAAAAATAGTAATGAAAATTCTATTGATGACAAAGATGAAATAGGGGAGCTACTCGCTAAATGTACACTTTGCGTTCAACAAGTTCCATCAACGATAAGTAGATAGATAAGTCACTGTGGATTCACTGTGAGGCTGACTGTTAGTAGACTTCTTCCTTGCCAAACATGAAAATGGACGGTGGAAAGATGCTTTCATTGAATTGGATATGTGTTACCGTTATGTCCTTGTTATATTTATTTTAATTAATGAAAAGGCAAACATAAATGAATTGCTGGTGAAATTTAATAACATTCACCTTTCGTTTAATTTCACTTATAAAGAGGAGCAGGATAATTCATCGAATTTTCCTTAAGCTTTGCTGAGCAGGCAAGATAGTGGTCCACTTTGGAAAGGCATGTATAGAAGGAACACATTTACTGGACTGTATATGCACTTCCTTAGTTATGTAACTAATTAAATATAGTTAGGCGTCTAACGAGCTCAGTAAGTACGATACTCACGGAAGATTACTTCGAAAAGAAATTCATATCTATAATTCCTCCACTGAGATGGGATATCCGTGGTGTTTCATGAAGAAACATGTGCCAGCACTAAATGGAAAAACTGAGACGACATCAACAAAAAAGATAACATTATTTATTGGGTTAAGTGAGATTTTTTCCAGTGACTAGCCAGAGGTACATGTAGCAGCAAACTTGTGTTAATGACTTTCTAGTCAGCGGATGATTAAGACTCAAACGAAGGTAAATCTAGATAGTTGTGCCACAGTTATGTGTATTTATCAGTTCAGTTGCTCTTTTGGAGAGAGTAGTTATATTGGACACACCACTAGAAAGTTTAGCTAACGTGTTACTGAACTTCTGCAATCAATGTTTCGCAAAGGATAGACAAAAAACATCCATAACTCCATTTTCTTGCATTTAGTTGATAGTGGTTATGTAGTCGAGAAAATAAAATCATTCAAAGTGATTCACCGAATCTTTCCTAGTGGACTTCCTTTCAGTCCATTGCATTTTGCTGAGATGATAGGCATTTGAACTATTATGCCTAAACTATGCATTCAAACAAAGTTCGTACAGCCATTATCCCTCCATGAACTAATAAAAATTTAATCAACCACCACTCTTCATTTATAAATCTAATTCCTTTCTTCTTATTCTTTAATGTTTTTTCCTTCACGCTCCCCAGTGGCACATAGAGCTTCAAGCTAGTGGTTTGAAGTTTCTATAGCTGTGTTTATTTTGTAGGATGGGGTCGCTAGTCTCATGCCCAACCTTTCCTTTTCACCAGCATTATTTCTGGCTTAGCGAGGTAAAGGAGTGCGTCGGCCGGGGATCGAACTCCGGACCATGTGCATGGTCGGCGAGCGTCCTAACCGCTATGCCACCGACGTACTTAATGTTAGTACCTCTTCATCAAAAATATAGTTTACTTACTTCCCTTACTTAATAATACTGTTTGTTTTTCTTAGCTGTTATAGACTATGTAGATTTGAACATTCGTTTTTTCCACTGTTCCTTTTTTCATAATTCTCGTTCCCGCGAATTGCCCGCTTTTTCATCTTTTCATCAACATCACTGGTTTATGCTTAATATTTATTTATCTGCAAAATTACGTATGTCAGAATTAAGTCTGATGATATGTAACTGAAAACAAAGTGATGTTCGCTTACATGTCTTGTTCTAAATGGAATATTCAGAGAAAAGACTCAATTCAGCGAAATTATTATCAAGCTGTACAATCAATCATATAAATATGTGACTTTTAAGAAAGTACATCTCGTGAGGACGTTCGAACGAAAGGTTTGACTACTACTGTGGTGAGAGTTGTCTGCACGCCAAAATTGTAGACAACAATTTACATCAATGTTTACGTCCCGAATCGGTGTCATGAGAAAAGCAATCACAAAGCCTAACCCTGAGAAAATCACCAGACAATCACAGAGGAGTCAACGTGTGGAAATATGATTCACAGATATATGCTTTGACTTTCTGAGAAACAGCCACATAGAGATAACAGAATAGCCTTCAACAAGAAAACAAGCAATCAGAAGAGGTTGTTTCTCCGCTAACAATAACGCTAATAATGATGCACATAAAAATCTATCAGTACCTGTTGATTTTCTCAGTAGACGATCTGTTGGCTGGTCCTTGTCTTCTGTCGTTACACTACTAATAATATTAACAGTGATATTGTCAAAGGCGAGGAAATATTTGTGATTATAATTATAGTTCAGTATTGAGTGATAAAATAAATAATACCATAATTGAAATAGTTCAAAGAATGTACGGATTTTGAAAATGAATGTGAAATTGACACGATTAATCACATCAGCAGGCAAGTGAAAAACTATGCAACATGGAAAGACGTTTGATGATAAGTATTTTAACATTGCAGAAAATATGTTGATTTAGGATAATAAATAGACCTAATGGAATAATACTGGAAACTGTTCAGAGTGAGAAAGGTGAAGTTAATAACCATCGCAATAACACGAGAAGGGTGTACTGGTTAGATAAACGAAACGAAGAATAAATGAATGTTTATCCCTCTACGTCTTAGGTGGAAAACAACACAGTTTATGCTTCTTTTATATACAACAATGTGGCTTCAGTTTTTTGAATGGCCAAGTCGTTTTGGTTTTTACAACTTTAGAACAAAGAGATCACAGCTGATTGGCATCGATTTGATATATAACCTTGACATCGAAATCATGGTTAGTTGAATCACAGAGGTCAA